GATGAATTAGATTACAAAGAAAAAGAAGTAGAAGATGTAGAAGGATACTATACCAAAGATACAATCAAGGGAGAACTGGTGAATGATAGAAAAGAAGAAACTTTGGGACCCACTATATACCTAGCTCAAGTAGAATAGTTATTTATAATATTGGACGAACCAGAGGAGATCATCATTGATGAAGGAATTCAGCAAATTAAGGTTAATAAGGAATTGGAACAAGAAGAGTGAAGTGAAATATAAGAATTGTTAGCAAGTCAAAAAGAATTCTTTGCACAAAATATAGAAGAGTTGGAACAAACAAATAAGATTTATCACGTGATCAATACTATTGATGTGGTTTTAATCAAGCAATCCATATATTGATTAGCTCTAGTATCAGAGAATTTGTTTAGAACAAAATAACTTATCTGTTAAATAAAGAACTGATTTGAGAATCTAAAAGTCTATAGACTTCTCCGATTATGGTAGTACCTAAAAAAGCTGGGAAATTACAACTATACATTAAACAGGATAACAAAAAAAGATGCTTACTTTTTGCCCTGAATCGATGATTTGTTGGAACTATTCACTGAAGCAAACTGGTTCACAACGTTGGATCTAATAAGTAGATACTGGCAGGTTGCCATAGAAGAAAAAGACAAGGAAAAAATCACGTTTTGTTATTGCATTTGGGACATACGAATTTAATGTAATACCATTTGGACTATGCAATACCCCAGCAACATTTTAATGTTTAATAAACAATTACTTGCTGAATATCTAGGAAAGTCAGCTGTCATATATTTGGATAACATCATAGTTTTCTCCAAGACATTCTAGGAGCACTTGTTGCATATGAAAAAAATATTCTGAGAATTAAAAGCAGTTGGATTAAAACTTAATTTAGAAAAGTGTACTTTTTTCTATTTCAATTTGCATTTTTTAGGGTATGTAGTAGGAAGAAAAGGGATTCATCCTGACAATGCCAAAATCGACAAAATCAAGAATTTTCCAAGATCCAAGAACTTGAGACAGCTACGAGGATTCATCGGATTGACCTCATACTATCGACGTTTCATTCAGGGATTTGAGACAATAGCTCATTTGTTATACCATCTCCAAAGAAAGCAAGTAAAGTTTAAGTAAGATGAAGAACAAGACTAAGCATTTGAAACTTTAAAATAACAACTTATAACTGCTTCGATCCTTCATTACTCAACTTTGCAAGAACATTCTATATTTATACAGATGCCTCCAGCAGTGAACTTGGCACTATACTAGTACAGAAAAATGACGATAAAAAAGAATACATGATATTGTATGCAAGCCGATGACTTACACAATACAAAAAAACTATATTGTGACCGAATTAAAGTGTTTGGCAGTTTTTTGAGCAGTGAAACATTTTTACCACTATTATGGCCTAAATTTGTTCATAGTTATTACAGATCACATGGCGTTACAGTAACTCAAGACAACTTACTGGACGAAGAGCTAGGTAAATGCTCTGCCTACAACCATATAATTTCACTATATAGCATAGAAGCAAAAAGAAGCATAATAATGCTGACGCATTATCCTGTCTCTAAAACCCATAAGAACTCACAAATAATCTATAAAAAAAATCGAACGATTAAAAAAATTAAAGAACTATTGAACTCACTAATCAAGAAGCATTAATTGAACTATTATAATAAGAAGTGACTAAAATCTGAGAAACAAAATCCAGCCTAGGTACCAGTGTTTTGGCAAGAAGACTAGAATATTCTTTTTACTTTCCCTAAGTATTTTTAGATAAAAATAACAAATTAGAAAAAAAAAATGGTTGAAACATATTATAACTACTTGAGAACATACCTGCAGACTTATATATGTGGTAGAAATTGGTAGATCCTTGACACAATTGATGCAATTATTTGACACAATTAATTGACGTAATTAATTGAGTCACTATTAAAACATATAAAATAATTGAGTCAGACGCAATTATTTTTAAGGATTTTAGCAATTGAGTCAACAGCAAAATAATTTATACCACATGTATACTGCAGATCCAGAAGTTACTGATGACTATGAACACAACTGATAAAAGGAAACTATAGAAGAAGAGTGAATTTTACACATTTAAGAATAGCATATTGTACAAGAAAGACTGGTAAACAAAAGATTACCTATTGCATGTAGTGCAGAAATACAAAGTTAAACTGATACTTTTTCTGGCACACCAGTATTTAATAGGCAAACATTTAGGAAAAGATATAGTGTTTGAAAAGATCTGCAAAACTTATTTTGGTTTCAAATGTATGATGATGTATGAAGATATATTGAAAGTTGTGATTAATGCCAATGGCACAGAAAAAAGTGTATATCCGGACCATTACGATCTATTCCAGTTACTGCTCCATTTCATCAAATCAGTATTGACTTCATAGGACTACTACCAAGCACCCCAAAATGAAACTGCTATATTTTAATAGCTATAGACTATACATGTGATAGAAATAGATAGATCCTTAATGCAATTTGACATAATTATTTGACACAATTAATTAAGTTACTATTAAAACATATAAAATAATTGAGTCAGATGCAATTATTTTTAAGAATTTTGGTAATTGAGTCAACGGCAAAATAATTTTATATCACATGTATACTATAGACTACATGACCAAATGGCCAGAAGTAAAAGCTATAAAGAGAGCTGATGCCATGACTGTTGCTGAATTCCTATATAATGAAATTATATGTAGGCATGGCTGCTCCCAAATCATCGTTTCAGATAAAGGCACCCATTTTCAAAATCACATAATATGGGAATTATTAAAAAAGTTCAAGATAAAACATTATCTAATGACATCTTACTATCCCAAACAAATGGCTTAACAGAACATTTCAATTGAATACTATGCGAATATATGACTGATTGGGACTTGTTCATATTTTATATTCTTTTTGCTTACCAAATGGCTAAAATACTATGACCAAATATTACTGTTTTACCTAGTTTATGAAAGAAAAGTGTGACAACCGTTTCACCCAAGCAGCTCTGATGAACTATTGGAAGGTATGATCTTACAATGAATCTTTAACTTGATTAAACAACTTCTGAAGACCCATCACACTATCATATGCAACAATACATGAGCTTAAGAATAACAAAAAGCCTATCGTAAAAAAGACAAGAACAAGCATAAAGATACGATATAGAAGACAAAGTACTTATATACCAGGCCACCTTAGAATACTTATGAAGTAACAAGTTCGACTTCAAATGGCAAGGATCATTCCACATACACAACTGAATAGCTGGCGATATATATCGGCTATATACCATGGATAAAAAGATACTTGCGACTCCTGTCAATACTTGGATTCTAAAAGAATATCAAGAACAAAACATGCACACGTAATATGTGTTATGCATGGTACACATAACATAAGTGCAGGAAAAATTGTAATACAGAAAAGTGGCGATACATATGTCACTAATATTAGATGCCAAAACATATCATATGTCATAATTACAACAAGCCACAATGGAACAATAGCCAACACACATGAAAAATGAGAGGCTTTAATAGGAAATATTGTGTAAGCGAAAAAAGACCAGGAAAAGTTACATATTACGACTCTGCTTGATAAAATTAATCAATTATATAAGATGATGACAAGAAAAATGATGTGTTATATAATAGCTTAGCTATGATTTCATTACTTTATTTTTATTTTTCTTTATTTGTTTATTTTATTTTCTTATTGATACTTATATAATTACCCGATTTAATGTATAAAAAGAACCATGGTTGTATCAAAAGAGAGACCACTGATAAATTGAAAATAAAATTAATAAAAATCATTTTTCGGCCATAATCAAATTTGTCTTACCTATAATAAAAACACTTACCTTTGTTATACAAATCTTAACTTCTTCAGTAGTAACAAACTCACTGATAGTGGTAATACCATACAATTACCACTAAAATGCCATTATATTTTTATAACATGATAACAATTTGCAAGGGCATCATTATCTGAGGAATTATTTGTTATTTGTACTATAATTGAGGAATTATCCAAGAAAAAACCTGCTATGCTGCCAGAAACCAAAGCTTTGATCAAAAATTTTGAGAATATCTTCCCAGCTGAACTGCTAAATTACCTACCATCCAAGCAAACAGTGGACCATACCATTGAGTTGATACCAGGATCTGAACCACTATTATAACCCATATACTTCCTGTTCTACATGAAAATAAATGAGCTAAAAAGGTAACTTGCTGATCTGCTCCAAAAGGATTCATCCACTCTTCTGTGTCTCTATTTAGTGCTCCTGTCCTCTTTGTTCATAAAAAGAAAGAATCATTGAGATTGTATATTAATTACCGTGTATTAAACAAAATTATCATTAAAAACTGGTACCCTTTGCCAAGAATCAACAAGCTAATGAATTATCTTATGGAAGCAAAATTTTTCACAATAATTGATTTGTACTCTGGATATCATCTAATCCACATCAAGAAGGAGGACATTTCAAAAACAGTATTCAAGACTTACTATAGTAATTTTGAATTTCTTGTTCTACTATTTGGTCTCACCAATACACCTGCAACTTTTATGATCTTGATGAACAATATCTTTTGTAATTATCTTGACAAATTTGTGATTGTGTATCTGAATAATATTCTTATATACAGCAAAACCAAAGAAGAACACTTGCAACATGTCCGCACTATCTTATAAACTCTAAGAAAACACCTACTGTATGTCAAAATTTTCAAATGTGAATTTATTTAACAAAGTGTCAAGTATGTAGAACATATCATTTCTGAAAAAGAAGTTTCTATAGATTCAAGGAAAATAAATATCATTCATGAATGGCCTGCACCAACCAACATATCTGAACTAAGGTCTTTCTTGGCTTGCCAACTACTATAGGAGATTTGTTCAAGACTTTTCTGCTATCACTTCACTATTTACTGCCCTTTTGCACAAGAATACACTATATTAATGGGAATCTATCCAACAAAAGCTTTTGATGAATTAAAAACTCATCTTATGACCACACCTGTTCTTTTTCTTCTTGACTCTTTCAAACTCTTCACTATTATTACCAATGCTTCTGACTTTGCAATTGGTGCTGTATTTTTTCAGAACCAAGGAAAAAGTAAACAACCTGTTGTGTATAAGTTAAGAAAACTTTTCCAAGCTAAGCAAAACTATTTTGTGCATGAAAAGAAACTTCTGGCAAT